TAGGTTTCAGGAGGTGGGCTAACCATTGCAACCATTTAAAACAGCTTCCAAACATTGTAAGACACTTTTACAGAAGCGAAAAAGGACTTCGCAAAGCCATTGAAATGTATTGAGCCTGCTTCAATACATTCCAGTGAAGGAAACATTGTTTCACACAGCGATGTTTCCTATGGGGATTTTCACTCAGCGATGGCAATCTGTTCCAATTGGAACGGATTAACCGGTTTTCAATGCATTCCTATGGGAAATGGTGTTTCACAGAACGATGTTTCACACAACGTTGATTTTTTTGGAACCAATTAACATTGTTGTGTGAGGCACCACTGTAATTCATTCTTTTTCGGTCTAGCTGTTTTCTGCTGGTGTGATTGGATGGTTTCCTATAAGCTTATATCCATCTTATATCCACCTGTGACCTTTTGGCATGCTAGTACTTTGGGCACTTCTTGTTTTTCGACATCATCTTCTCCCCTTGCCCATTAGTGTGTGTCAGTGATGTGTTTTTCTCCTCCAAGGCATTATCCATTATGGTTTATAGTCAGTGCTATTATTACAATGAATTAACATATACTTGGAAACTATTTGTGTTTGTGTTTATTGCAGCAACTCTACCTCAATTTGTATGCCTTTAACATTTAACAAAAATCATAAGTATGTGGAAAGAATGTCTGTGAGCATACAGATGTCTTTTCTGAAAAAGTGGAGATTTTCTGTTGTGGTGGGATCCAATTTCTTTGATAGAGTGATTGGTTGGATTTAAAATGTGAAAGATCAGGAGCACTAAGATAGAGAAAAACCTGGGTCATGAGGAGGGAACTAATAAAAGGAGAGGCATTTTGGAGAGAGACCTGAGGATATACAAGCGCTATCTTAAATGATGCAAGAGAATTTGCTTTTTATGATAAAAGTCAAGCTGGAATAGTGTCTTCACCAGTATCTTTAAAAAATAAAGGAATATGAAAAATTAAAAACAATTTCCCGGGATTTTTGTCACTCAGAACTTGAGATCTTTTTAGAGTTCATCACTCTGAATCTCATAAAAATATTACCATTCATGGATACTTCAATCTAAGGATAGAGTGCTGCACAAGTGAAAATACAACTTACCATGTACAGATTTTTTTAAAAAAGCAGTAAGTGTATACATATGGTGCTATACACATAACTTACAAATGGTATATGTCATTCCTTTACATTTTGTGGGCCTACTGAATGAAAATGTTTCCGTTTCTGTATTTTACTGTTCTGAAATATCTTGAATTTGAAATTCAAATGTGTTTTCTTTTATACTTACAGAATTGAAGACTTGCCAGTGCCTACTAAAAAGCTGTCACCAGAATTGACACCAGTGGTGCTTTTCACAGGATTTGAGCCTGCACAAGTGCATCAGTACATCAAGGTGAGAGCCTTGTTATTCCTGAGTAAAATCCTTTTATTTCTTGGTTCTGTTCACAGGAATGTGTTGTAAATCTAAGGCAGGGTGGACAACCTGTTGTGGCCGGGGGTGGCATGGAGGGGAGGGCACAGGCTCATTGTCAGGATGGCCAGCTGCTCTGAGGGGTGGACACATTCCCAAAGGGGCTGTGGCCAGAGGGGAAAAAAGAGGCTGTGGGTAAGGTTCAATTGCTAAAATAGATTTCATACTTTTATTATGAATTCAAAGTTATTTTAGATGAAACAGTAAATCAGACTTATTCACACATAGGTTTTAGTACAGTATTTAATAAATACTTTTTGCTGTTTTTATTTAATTGTAATGCTTCAATGGAAGATTTAATAAAAATGATCTGTCAACCATTCCTAGTTACTTGGTTGATCACTTGTGATCTTGGTCTGTTGTGATATGACTCAAGTGAATCTTTTGTTTTCCCTTTTTCTTATTTTTTACAAATTTCAGAAACTCTACATTCTTGGAGGCGAAGTGGCAGAATCTGCACAGAAGTGCACTCACCTAATAGCTAGTAAAGTGACCCGTACTGTAAAATTCTTAACAGCAATTTCGGTTGTAAAGCATATAATAACCCCGGACTGGCTAGAAGAGTGTTTTAAATGTCAGAAGTTTATAGGTAAGTAAACTAGCATTGGTTACCAAAAAATATTTATAGCATTTCTGTTAAACTTAACAAAGGAGCATGTACAGTTGGTGCCTGTTCTGTTGGTAAGTGAGGGAAATTTATTTAAACATTGGATCACAGTGGGGTCTTGACTTGAGAACGTAATCCGTATTGGAAGGCGGTTCTCAAGTCAAAAAGTCTGTAGATCAAGTCTCCATTGACCTACAGTGCATTGAAAACCGATTAATCCCGTAACAGGCCGTTTTTGTTCCATTTTGGTTTTTTTCTGGTCTGTAAGTCAATTCTCAGGCTGCAAATCAAACCTAAATTTTGTGGCCAGAGAAGTCTGTAACTCAAAAAGTCTGTAAGTCAAGCCGTCTGTAAGTCAAGGGTCCACTGTAAATGGTTTAAATATGTAGGTTAAAATCCAGCTGCATGGTGGCAGCAGGGCAGTGGTATAACTTTGAGTGGCAAATTCTTGTTAAGTAACCCATCGCTACTTGGATTCTTTATTGCACTGTAGTCATGTGGCTTTGTATAAAACCAGAAATCTAAGTGGCAGCTCATTTATTAGCAGCCACTTGCCTGCCTGCTAGTATAACTACACAACAGCATTTTGTTTGTACTTTTTAAAATATGGAAGTGGCTATTTTAAAACCAAATATACAGAGACAAGAATGGCATACATCATTTTGAAACAGAGTCCTGTTTATAATCTACAATATTAAAACAGGATTAAATTATGATATTAAAACAGTTGAATTAAAAGCAGTCTAGAATCATTTTTTAATGGATCAAATTTGTGAAAGTTGATTAACCCCAGTAGAAGCGTGCGTGCCTCAAACTGTGCCCAAAATTCTTATGTTGATCTAAAAACAACTGCCAACCCTGCCAGTTTCCTTTTAGTTCTGTTATTTGAGGGACCATTCAGCTCTCGTTTGGCTATTCTCTCAGTCATGAATAATGTGTTATCAATGGTTACTTCTGTATCTTTCCCCTATTTTAGAAGAGCAAAGCTACATACTCAGAGATGCAGAAGCTGAAGTTCTTTTCTGTTTCAGCTTAGAAGAATCTCTAAAAAGAGCACAAATGGCACCACTATTTAAGGTATGCCATGTTTTATTTTTCATAAAAATTGCTGAGTGTATAGAACTTTGGCTCAAACAACTAAATATATTCAATTTTTGTCTTTATTTATGCTGGCCCAAAAACAGATAATTTGAAATTTTGTCATGTATACTAAGATCATGTTCCTGTACAGAACTCTTGACTAGGGATGCCAAAGATTGACCTCCTAAGCTTCCCAACAGTGGAGGAGAGCCAGAATAGTGTTGGAAAATTAAAATATCAATAAATGGGATGCTAAAGATTGACAAAAGATCTTTATAACAAATTTTTCTGTAAGAGCCTGTTAAAGATCAATTACTGTGTCCTAATATCACAAATGCAGACAGGTAAAATTACTTGTGTGCTCTGCATTTCTCTTGATTTTAGGGGAAATACTTCTATATTACACCTGGAATTTGTCCTAGTCTTTCCACCATGAAATCTATTGTGGAATGTGCAGGTGGAAAAGTACTGTCCAAACAGCCTTCTTTTCGCAAACTCATGGAACATAAACAAAATAAGGTGAGTGTTTCATCTGATTTTTCTAAGATTTTTTTTGGCTTGGAAAAGTATCCTCTTTCAACTGATGGATTTCATTTTTTTAAAAAAAATCTAGAGTTTGACGGAGATTATTATCATCTCTTGTGAAAACGATCTTCACTTATGTCGAGAATATTTTGCCAGAGGCATAGGTAAGTGCATTGTTATCCTTGCGTAACATCTCTATATAACCATGCAGTTGGACACTTGCTGTATAGATAGTGTCTGACATAGAGATTATAGGTAAGGAAATTTGGCTGCCCATTTGGTTCCGCATTGACTTCAAAGTCTTGATGCTTACATATAAGGCCCTAAACGGTTTAGGGCCTCGATATTTGGCGGAACACCTACTCCCACCAAGCTCTACCCATATTACTCGTGCAAGCCAGGAGGTGAGGCTGAGGAGCCTGATGCCGAGGGACGCCCGGAAGGAAAAAACAAGAAACCGGGCCTTCTCGGCGGTGGATCCTCGCCTCTGGAACAATCTCCCTCCAGAGATTCGTGCAGCCCCCTCGCTGGGTATTTTTAAAAACCAACTAAAACTTGCATGTTCAGGCAGACCTTCCCCTCCAGTTAATCTGTTTCTTTTCTTCTTTGTGGTTTATCTTTCATTTTCTGTTTATTTTCTTTCTTCTTTGTGGTTTATCTTTCATTTTCCTCCCCATCTTTGATTATTTAATGAAATCTTTTTTTATTATTATTTTATCATTGTATCATGATTTTGTAAGCCGCCTAGAGTAGTCATAATGACCAAATAGGTGCGCCTAGAGTGGTCATAACGACCAGATAGGCGGGATATAAATAGAATAAATAAATAAAATAAATAAATTATAAAGATTGAAATTTGGAGTATATAATAAATTTTGATGCTTGGGTTTGCAGGAGGGCATGGGCACATACATGGTTGGTTTTTTCTCAGCAATTGCCCCAAGACACAAGCCTTCTGCAGTTACTCTTTTGCATGTTTGTATTTGCTTATGTTTCCATGGTTGAGAAGGATTGACTAAGGTGTAGAGACACTGAACTCTGCTTTCTACATTGCTGCTGCTCCAGAATTCCTATTGTCCAGAATTACTGTTGTGCTGGTTGTCAGCCAGGATGAAATATTTGAGGCCTTGCTGTATGATTTCATGACTTGATTTGAAAGAATCCCAATGCAAAGGAGACATTTCTCTCTCTTAAAGCTGAAACATAGGATGCAGCAGCAAAACAACCAAATTTAGAATTTTTGCAACTTCTCAGGAGTCACTTATATCCTGTGTCCAATTCTGCATTAGCCTTAACAGTTGTGTAATTGGGTCACAGATGCCAGGTACCCTGGCACAGTTTACCCGTTACATCAGAATATTATACCCTCACTGAAAATGAATGCCTCCCACCAACATTTTCTGGCCTTTGTGCTCTGTATCATTTTAAAAAGTGACATATTGGTACACCTCTTCCTTTGACTTGGCAATGGCTAGACCAAAGGGGTTTAACTGGAAAGAATTAACTCGACATTGGGAGATCTTCAAAATCAGTAATTGTAACAAATTAGTCATCAAACATCCTTTTATACAAATGGGTTGATTTATGTATTTATGTGTGTTTCTATTTTTACAGATGTCCACAATGCAGAGTTTATTTTAACTGGTGTTCTCACTCAAACACTGGATTATGAATCATATCCTTTTACATGTTAAATAAAATATAGCGAGTTCTGTAAAAATTCAGCTGTCTATTCTAATAAAAGCATTAGTAAAAACACAGATCACCTTGGTATTCAGTCTGTGGGAGGCAGAAAGCTATAAATCCATATTAATATGGTTCCACTGCCAGATCAGGACGACTCGTGGTGTCCAGTGTTGTTTTTCTGACATGAAAGGATTTTGCCATATTTCAAGGCTCTTAAAGAAATTCTCCTGGAGCATTGGAACCCCTGAAGAGGGGACAATAACAATAATTGTGTGCCATCAAGTAGTTTCTGACTAATGGTGGCCCTTTCTAGGGGTTTCTAGGTAGAGAATGCTCAGAAGTGGTTTACCATTCCTTTCTTCCCTGGGTCTGTGCAGCTGGCCCAAGGCGACACAGACTGATTCTTCTCCCAGGAGGCACAAGTGAGGAATTGAACTTCCAATCTCTGGCTCCATACCCAGATACAGTGGGGTCTCGACTTACGAACGGCTCGACATACGAACATTTCGACTTACGAACTGCTCTCATAGGAATATATGGACTCGACTTACGAACTTAGATTCGAGTTACGAACTCTTTTTTTCCCTTTTTTTTAAAGCTAAGTCATCTTAGGTTAAAAGGAAAAAAGAAAAAATAGCCCCCTCTAGTGGCAGAAGGCGGAATAGCAGCTTCCCATTAGTTTATATGGACGAAAAGAGCAGATACGGATTAAATGGTTTTCAATGCATTCCTATGGGAAATGCAGATTCGACTTAAGAACTTTTCGACCTGAGAACTGCCTTCCAATACGGATTAAGTTCGTAAGTCGAGACCCCACTGTACCTAATTCACTGAGCTATCCAGGCAGCTGAAGAGGTCATAGGGAGTTTTAACTTAAATTAGAGATTTCTGCCATCAACTGATGACATCTTCATGTGGTGTTAAATTATGTCAACTGGATTTCAGCAAACATTTTATTGTTTGAGGAATGTGTTTACGATCATCTGTTTTAAATGTTATGGTATAATTTTCCTTAATTAAGCATACATATAAATTCACTTGACAAGGAAACAAAATGCCTTACTGCTTCAAACTTCTTGAAGCATTTCCTCAAGTTTTCCAGCCTGTGGATCAATCAGTACTTCATTGAGTTCTTATTTTCCACTTGTTTTTTCCCTGAAGGACAGTGAACAGTGCAAGGCCGGAGAGCAAACATTTACTGCATCTGTTTAAGATGTGCAACCTTTTATTATCAAGACATAATTAATTATGTTTTTGTATTATACTATTAACGAGAGAGAGCTTACTTTTTTATACCGTGAATTAGTTTTCCCGATTTTTTTAGGTTTTAACAACTGGTGGTACTCAAACAGAATCGAAATGTAAAGATAAAAGGGCTTGTGGTATGTTTTAAATTATGGAGGTAAATATTTTGTACTTTATTTTATTATGATGTTTCTTTTATATTAATACTATCCCAGTTTTTAAATAAACATACTTCTAAAATATCTTTCTTTAAAATTTAGCAGTGGTTCTTTTTAAATAAAATACTGTGCAATTGTGGCACTCTCTGGTAAGAGTAAATTACTCTAATTATTCTTCCAAATGCTGTAAGATATATCTTCCACTTAATTTGATCAGGTCTGTTTTAATATTGAAAGCCACATATTTTAAGCAGGATTCAATGTTACTGTTATGTGTGTTTCTACTGAATTTAGTTTGAACTCATTCATATTCTGCTAAAAGTTCTCTTGTCATTTTAATGAAATAAATATGCAAAAGTGAATTCAGGGATGTAGTTGTTTCATCCAAGGTGAACTGCTCTTGAACAATGCTAATCTGTTTGTTTATAAGCTGAGTGTTTGTTATTTTTTAAAAATACATTGTTTCAGCAGGAACATAGGGAAATGAAGTTAGGTAATATGTGCCGGCTTGGCTGTATATGATTCCTATTTGCAAGTGATAAAAATTGCTTAAATTCTAAATTTAAGTTCTAAAGTTATTCTTTCCTTAGATTGTCTTTAGACCTGACAGCAAATCTTGGTTGATGTGGTTTTGGAGATTATGATAATTTAGGCTTCACAGAATTCTTGATAACTTGCATAAGCAGAAATGACCCAGCTTGTTATCTCATTTAACAGCATGCCATTGTTTTTCTGTGCCAGTTTTTGTTGTCCGTCTCTCTTTTTTGAAAGTGAAGGGCTGCCTATGGCAAAAAGGATGTGATTCACTTGGAGAAGCTGCAGGTACACAGCCTGGTTGTTTAATGTTAGTTATGACACTTGAGTGCTACTCACTGATTGTTTGCTATGCACCTTTGAAGACTGCACTAACTGCTACCGTTGAAATTGTACATTTTTTATGTACTGAAAAATACATGCTTAAACCAGCTTCTCTTTGGTCTTGCATACTTTCTAATCCCTGAACAAAAAGATAAATGTAACGTTGAAGAAGTAGTTGGTTTTGTAACTTTTGAAGGTTTTTCTGTTGACTCACACAGGAAAATTGCTCATCATGGGAAAGACAATGAGTCCCCTATTACAGCAGTACTGCAAATCATATACAGTTTGCATTCGTTTATATTAGTTTGTAAGAAATATGTATGCGTTCAGAATCCTATTGCCATTTGCTTAGGTTTTTCATAATGTGTTGCAGCTCCTTGCTGCTAATTGGCAAAGAGGTGCAGCCCATCTTAGACACATGCTTAGTTTTATTTAATGATTTTATTTAATTTTTACCCCATCCATCTAGTGGCCAGGCCACTGGTCTGGGTGGCTTAGAATAAAAGCATCCACAACACAAATCAAAATTCAGTAAAAAACAACAACCAGGACATTGAACAAAAAAGCAGGCAAATCACCAACTTAAATTACATCTATAATAGGATGTACAATGGTGACAGAACAAAATCAGCCATAAAAATGGGGGTCATAAAAAAATCTATAATAGGATGTACAATGGTGACCCCCTTCATGGATTGCTGCGAACATGCGCTGGATTATGGAGAAAGAAAAACAATGGTGACAGACCAACAATCAGCCATAAAAATGGGGGTCATAAAAATTAGGGGGATTAAAGAAAAAAAATAAATTAAACAGGCAGGAGTATCAAAAGCTGGAGTAAAGAGCCAGATCTTTACCTTTTTCCTGAAGCCAAGAAGGATTGAGGACTGATATACTTTCATAGGAAGAGAATTCCATAGCATGAGAAGGCCCGGTTTATAGTAGTGGATTTCTGGGCCTCTCTTGGAGTGACCATCCAGAACATCATTGTTTGGGAAGTATGGTCTGTCAGAGAGAGCCTGTGCAACCGAGATGTGCCCCAGCAACAACTTACACAAATCTTGCACAGACACCACAAAAATTCCAACCAACATTGCGATCCTTACATTCAATACATTCGACACAGGATCTTCAACATATCTTGCCTATTGCTGAGTTGTATCATTCGTGTCAACATATTTCTTGTCTGTACAACTGTCTGCTTTTTTCTTGCATATGCATTTATACATTCGTTCTTATAAATAGTCTTATGAAGATAACAACTACGTCACCTTTCAGTTCAAAAAAGTTGATGGAAATGCTCAGTGACAGGCATGTAGCAGAAACCTCCTCACTTCTCTCCCATTGCAAGCTGCTGAAGTGTCCATTTTTATAAGGGTGCAGTGTGAGTCTGTTTGCATTGCATGTTATCTTTCTCCAGAAGAGAAAATAGAGCACTCATGGACACCTCTAATTCTCTTCCTGGGATCTGTGCCCACTGCAGATCCTTCCTGCAGTTACCATCCTACTAAGCTACTGATAGAGCAGAAGGAGAAGCTTCAACTAGAAGCTTCAGAAATGCTTTCAACACTTAGTTTTCCCTCTTATTGTAAATATAAAAATCCAGTTCCCAGATTTTTATATTTACAATAAGAGGGAAAACTAAGTGTTGAAAGCATTTCTGAAGCTTCTAGTTGGCAAGACAAGACTATTCCTTTCTGACTTGCTCTTGTCCTGCTAACTATTGTCCTTGAAAAGAATGTGGTGTCATGTGCTGCCAATTCACCCGTGACAGTGACTCTGTCAAAAAGTGACCTCCAGAATGTCTTATCATTAACTGTTTTTCTCAGCTTGCTTCACTGAGTGAAGAACAGGATTGCAGAAGCAGACGTGACTGGTAATTCTTTAGAATAGTAGTAAAAGAATTTGGCTCTAATTTTACATCCTTCTGCTTGTGTTTTTGTGCCTTGCGAATGCTTTGTGTACCCATCTTCCATTATTGTTGCTGGCAGTAGCTGTTTATGAAGCATTGATGTTAATTTCTTGCACTTGTCAACTCATAGTGGTTCAGTTTTTTTAAGTGTTAAGCTTCCCATCTTAAGCAGTCACATCTGAAACCCAGTTCGCATCTCTGCTGCTTTTCTCAAGTTCCAAATCTCAGGCGGAAGACCAGTTGTTAGAAATTTAGAAAATTCCTTTCATACTGAGACCACTGGCACCGATCCGTCTAACTTAGCATTATGTTCCTCGAACTGGCAGTTTCAGCAAAACAGGATGCCTGCCTGCCCCTTTACTTCAGCCCCCACTGCCTCCCTACCTGCTCTTGCTCTTGCTGCTGCTCCTCTATCAGCACTGCCTATCAGACTGTTTTTGACCAGGAGCAGACTACTTTAATAGCGTTATCTTGGCCATGTGCTAATCTTCTTTTCTGCACATGTTGGGGAACAAATTGCACGTACAGAAGTGTAGTATTGATTGAATTTCTTCACAGTCACAGAAAATTTGTCCTGTATCCAAATAGCCCCATTTTACTAGATTATTCTTGGATCTTCCTACTTTGCTTTGAAATCTATTAAGTGATTTCCGGATGGTCCAGCTAGAACAATGATGGCAAACCTATGGCACCTGTGCCACAGCTGGCACACAGAGCCCTCTCTGTGGGCAAACGAGCCGTAAGTCACTATAGAGAAATACTTACCCGTCCTCCGATCCCGGATTTTGGCACTCCCCTCTGCTGGTGCAGTGGTCCGGCAGAGGGTTTGCAGTGGTGACCATTACCGGTCTAACCCAATGGGAGATTGGAGAACTGGTAAGATTTATTTGTTAATACCACCCATGGGGAAAAAAACCCAAGCATTGTCACGAACCCACTTCCCCTGTTTGTTCTTCCACACAACCCAGGTTCACTTTCGGGTATGACATTTATTTTTCAACTGTTTCCGCTGCCACCAGAGAAGTCACTCCTCAATACATCAACTATGACTCTTAAATCAGTGTTATTCAATAAAACAATGTTTATTAAAGTGTTCACAAGTAAATCATGTAAAGTAAATGCATGGATGGTCTTATTTTATTCATGCAATCAACTGTGCTTTTATAACATTTATATTTGTTTAGATGGAATCACGTTACTTCAAGTATTTATTCATTTCTTTTCTTATTCCCTATCTCTCTATTACTCTTCTCTAACACAAGGCTGGTCCTGACTGCTTAAACTGCTTTTCTCTAACACCAGTCCCTAACTCCATCCCTAACTGAGACTCTTAACACCAAAAACTGCTCTTTAACTGTCATCCATTCTCTTATATATCCCTAGTCCCACCTTTTCTGTACAGCCATTGGCTCTTGAATCAGGGTTCCATTGTGATGGACAGGAGTGGTTCCTGATCTGTCCGTCACAAGCATGTAACCCTTGCAGTGCAGGAGCAGTTGTTTTTTCTAAACTAAAACTTCAGCATTTGGGTTTTCATTGCGGTGTTGGCACTTTGAAATAAATAAGTTGATTTTGTGTTGCAGTTTGGGCACTTGAGCTCAAAAAGGTTCACCATCACTGAGCTAGAACCTTGTTCTGGTGGGAGGCACTCAGGCATGAACGGTTTAATATATATAACATATAACAAAATAAACATTTACCAAAAATAAAACTTAGTGTACCCCATCCAATATAACCATTCTTCAGCATCCCCCTATTCCCTTCAAAATTTTAATACTTCTTGTGCACCTAATTGACCTTTCTCGTTTCCTTAATAAAGTGGTTTAAAGTATATTAAGCAATATATTGTGCCACATACGTATATTGCTTAGGATTTTTTTCAAACAAGAATTCACTGCACTAGACTGCATAGTCCACAGAACCTTATATGGCCTTATATAAGCAGCACACTTTTAAATCAGCAGATTTAACACATGATGCTCAGCATCTGGGGAATTCCAAGAAAATGAACTTCCAAAGACTTTGCATTTGATTAGACAACTGCACACAAAACTCACTCAAGTCATCTCCATGGGGAGACCCTAAGCATGACATAGTTCAGCCTGAACCAAGATCCAGGGGAGGTAGAGCCAAAGGAGGCCTTGTGATGTGTATTAAGCAATATATTGTGCCACATATGGATATTGCTTAGGATTTTTTTTCGAACAAGAGTTCACTGCACTAGACTGCGTAGTCCACAGAGCCTTATATGGCCTTATATAAGCAGCACACTTTTAAATCAGCAGATTTAACACATGATGCTCAGCATCTGGGGAATTCCAAGAAAATGAACTTCCAAAGACTTTGCATTTGATTAGACAACTGCACACAAAACTCACTCAAGTCATCTCCATGGGGAGACCCTAAGCATGACATAGTTCAGCCTGAACCAAGATCCAGGGGAGGTAGAGCCAAAGGAGGCCTTGTTGGTCAAAAACTATATTTTACCTTGTTGTTCATGTGTATCTTTCTCCAATCCAGCATAAACAACAAAATAAGGATAGGTGGGCAGACCTATCTTCCACTGTCTTCCACTGCCTCCCGGAGTATGGTCAAAAACTCGATATTTTACCCTGTTGTTAATATGTATCTTTCTCCAATCCAGCATAAACAACAAAATAAGGATAGGTGGGCAGACCTATCTTCCACTGTCTTCCACTGCCTCCCGGAGTATGGTCAAAAACTCGATATTTTACCCTGTTGTTAATATGTATCTTTCTCCAATCCAGCATAAACAACAAAATAAGGATAGGTGGGCAGACCTGCAAAACTTTATTAGGAGAATGACATCTCTACACCCCAAGGCATCTGTGATACTGACAGGAGACTTTTAACGTCAGAATTGGTCAAAATGATGAAGACCATTTTGGTGAACACGCGCCTGAAATGGAGATGGGACATCTGATCCTTGTTAGACAGTTCAAAGGTCAGATTTGTAACTATTCTGGTCTTTGTCTCATGGATGATTAATAGCTTGGATATAGTGCTATTTAATGGAGGAATGGAAGGGGATAGATCTGGGGAATATAACTTCCTGGGAGGGTGTGGTGCTTCAGTTATTGATTATTCTCATTAGCTATGATCTGTTAAATCTGGTACTCAGTTTTGAAGTTGGTACATGCACAGAGAGTGACCATCTCCCCCTGATTACAATACT